AGTTCTAACTTTCCTGTTACAATGACTTTATTTACCTTATGAATGTAAACTTTAGAAAAATAATTGTGTTTAAATCAAGAGATGGGATAGAATTCTTGTGCCTTATTCTCTCAGATCTGTGTGGAAAAAATGATTTGATTGTTGGGTTAGAGCTGATTTTGCACAATCAAGTTAAAAAGGAATCTTTGGGCTCTTTTGGGTGGCACAATACAAAAGGGCCAAAGCACATATTTCTATTTTTCTTGCATAAGAGTCACTTTATTAGTAAATACTGCCCTGGGAGGCATTCCTGGGGCAGCAAGTCCCAGGAATTAAAGACTGTCACAGGAGTGATTCTGGGACAACTCCCTGCAAAGGGAGGAGGAGGTTTGGAGGTCTGTGCTGGTCTGATGCCAGCTGCCTTTCAGGATTCCTCTGAAATGCTGCTCTCACCTTGTCCTGGGTGACTTCACGGTGGGGACAACTTCCTCTGGTGTTGGAATGCTTGATCCCCGTTCCTGCATTCCAGAACTTTCACTCTTCACGTGTTCCTGGCCACTTTTGTGCTGCCTTTTCTGTCAGGGATGACAGGAGGGTCTCCTCTGGCTTTGGAAGCTGCAGAATTGGAGTTTGCTTTGACCTCCACAGGGTTTTAGAGGACTGGAATTCTGCTTTGGACGAAGGGTCCCCTCATGCCTTAATTTGGGATGTTTTAACTTGTATTTCCTGGTACATCTTGGCTTTTTTTTTGTCTTTGTGCATCTCGTTTTTGTGGCCTTTATGATGTTGTGTGTTTAATGTGTGTTACCTGCCTGACCATAACTGAAATCACTGTCTGCAGACAACACCTGGCACAGGGAATGCTTTATGTTTTCCTGGGATGCAGGCCCTTCCCCTGAGTTTTTCCCTGATGTATAGAACCCTTCAGCTGCTGCATTTTACACTGTTACATTAGTGTGCAACTACAATAAAGGAACAGAGAAACCCATGCCTGTATCTCGTTGTGTAATTAAGCTTTTCAAGTAAAAAAAAAAAAAAAAAATCAGATTTCCTGTCAAAAAAGATTAGAACTCCTCTTTGGGAATGCCCCAGTTCATTAGGGCAGAGTCTGATCAGCTGTCAGATGTTCTGTGATACTTCCAAGCTCTGAAACACTCTGCTGAGCTGTGTTAGAATGAAAGCACAAAGAGCTCTCTGTGCTGCTGATGGGTATCCCATGATTGATCACAGCCAGCCAGATGCCACAGGCCATCTCCAGCAGCATTCCAGGCTTCCAGGACCTTTCCTGAACTCCTTCACTGGACACTGCCCATTCAGCTGGACCTGTCAGCTGAGCTCCTTGAAATGAAACTGAGCCTTGAGCTGTGTGCTGTGACTCAGCTGGTGCTTGTGGCTACAAAAATGCTGTCAAATAACCCTAAAAACCCCTTTAAGTCGATTAAATTACTGATACAAATTAAAAGTTGATCTAAGAGAGCGGGTTTAGATTAGATGTTGGGAAGGAATTGTTCCCTGTGAGGGTGGGAGGCCCTGGCACAGGGTGCCCAGAGCAGCTGTGGCTGCTCCATCCCTGGCAGTGCCCAAGGCCAGGCTGGACAGGGCTTGGAGCACCCTGGGACAGTGGAAGGTGTCAGGGTTGGAACTGGATGAGCTTTAATGTCCCTTCATCCCAAAGCATCCCGTGATTCCGTGAACTTTGGGTGAAATAAGTGTTAATTTGTCTGACAGCTGAACCACGCTTGGAGTCCAGCTGTCACCCAGGCAGGTTTTGTTTAGCTGGATTAATTCAAAGATGTTTCCTTTGATAGGAAAAACAGGAGATTCCATTCCGGGTTAAGGAATCCCCCTAAAATAATTGTAAGTTATGTTTCTAGAAGGTTCCCCAAGTGTGCTGGTGGGTGGGCAGCCCATTTTCTTCTGGACAAAGAGTGGCCTGGGTTAGGAGTGAGGCCAGCTCTGCTCTTGTGACCATTTAATGGTTCTAGAAGCTGCCACCGCTTCCATTAACGCAGGAAAAGCAGCTCTGAGGTCTTTATCAGCACAGCTGAGGTGTTTGCTGAAGAAATGGGGGATTTATGCCAGCAGGATCAAGGCAGCTTTTCCAAATAACTGGTTCAAAACATCCCCATCCCTCCTCACAAATGGCCCATTTGCTCCTGCTCCTGCTCATTGTTTGTGCTTCTGACAAATCCTTCCTTCCCTCCTCCTTTTTGATGTGCCAAACTCTGAGTGTTAGCACATGGAGAGCTGATTGGATAATCAAATAGTCTTCAAAGATCCTGCGGAAGACCTCGGGGGCCTGAGGAGAGGTAATGCTCAGGGCCGGGCTGATAACAACACCGCCATTGGCAGGTGCTTTGAAGATATCGGCTCTGGGAACACACCCCAGTGCCAGGCTGCTGTTTTCTCAGGAATACAAATGGAAAAACAGTTGCAGAATGAACCTCATGCAATAATTTGCAATAGAGTCAAGCACGAGGCTGGCTTGGAACAGGGCAGTTCAGTGGCTGCTGTCCCATGGCCTCTGGAGCCTGGCATTTCCAGTCCTCAGCTGTGAGCAATTCCCCTTTGGAAGAGTTAGAACAGGATAATTCTGTCTCATTCTTGTGGGAGCTCATGGAAATGTCTGTGTGGGTTCATATCAGGTGTAAAATGCCCATGGTGGGATTCTTGGGGCCAGGAATTGGACTTGATCCCTGTGGGTCCCTTCCAGCTCAGGACATCCTGGTTCTAGGTCATTACTGGCCTTGAGGAGCTTGGCCTGGAGCACTGGAGAAGTAAATCCTTTGATAAATGATTTTATTCCCTCAAATATATAACTGAGTTTGAGTATTCATCTGGAAACACCTGAAGCAAATACTTAATTTCAATCCCAGTCCTGTCTGCTGCATCCCGGTGTAACAAGGCTGACACAGGGATAATCCCATTTGTTGTAAGTATCTGGTTCTTGTCCTGATTTCATGGTCCTGGCAGAAATCATGAAATGCAGTAACAAAAATGGCCTGTAATGGTAAACTAGGAAAGTAAAAAAGGCTTTTGAGGTTACAGAAAACCTGTGATAAATGTTTTGTTGTTTATTTTTAATTAATTATCAGAGTCTTTTGAGTCTCTCTAGGATCCCATTTGTCCTTGAAAACTGGAGGAACGTGCTTAGTGCCAAGGTAATTTCTGGTTTTGCTCTCTTCTACAATTTGGATGTTTACCTAAAGCCAGCAGCAGATTTTTGAGCTCCTGAGCAGCCACTAGATGTCAGGTTTGGACTAGAGCTCCAAGGATTGGGCTGGTTGGGACTCTGGAATGGCTGGAAGTGGTCGTGGTGGAAATGAAATGTAACTGAAATGTGCCCTTTCCCCCCCAGAATGTCCATCTCACGTTTTCCTGGAATTCTCTTGGAGAAAACCCTCCAGCCCACCTCCTGCCTGCCTGAACTGTGCTCAGAAGGGGCTCCAGGAGGATGAACCAGCCTTGGGTCTGGAGCTCGGGCACCACTGCTGGTGTGACAGCACTGCCTGGGAGGCAGCTCCTCACAGGTACCACTTCCACCCCCACAGGGAATGCTTGGAATCAGAGCTTCCAGGCTGGAGCCTCTGAGCTCCTCTCCTCCCTCCAGGGAATCTGAATTTGCTGAGGAATTGGCTCCTTGGGAGTTATTGTATTATCCTACTGAACTGATTCTCCTTGGGTGCAGAACCTCTGCCTTCAGTGAGGCACACGTTGCTTTTTTGCCTGCACGGCTGCCAGATGGCTGAATGATTTTACATTTCGTTTCACAAACAAGCATTTTGGTGCCTTTGCCATCTGTCAGATTTGAGATTGGTGACTCATTAATGTTTCAGAGAAGCCTTTTTGGCGATTTTGGTGTCTGCCAGGAGGGGCTGATTCCCTCAGCGCCTCTGCAGAGGTGCAGCTGATGCAGCACCAGGGCCTCGCCCTGTGCTTGTGAGCTGGGATGGAAAAGCACGGCAGGATGGGGCTGGGGGAGCTGGGACAGCCAGGATATACATACACACACATGTGTATATCGTACATACACGTGTGTGTATCCTATATATCATACACACATGTATGTATATCCTGTATGTACTGTATATTATACATACATGTGTGTATATCCTGTCTATCATCAACAAACATCTGTATGTCAAACATACACATCTGAATATCCTGTATATCATACGTACACATGTGTATATCCTGTATATCATACATACATGTATGTATGATATACAGGATATACATACACACACATGTGTATATCATACATACACGTGTGTGTATCCTGTATATCATACATACATGTATGTATATACTGTATATTATACATACATGTGTGTATATCCTGTATATCATACATACACGTGTGTATATCCTGTATATCATACACACACATCTGTATGTCAAACATACACATCTGAATATCCTGTATATCATACATACAGGTCTGTATATCCTGTATGTCATACATACATGTATGTATATCCTGTATATACTGTATATTATACATACATGTGTGTATACCCTGTATATCATACATACACGTCTGTATATCCTGTATGTCATATATATGTGCATGTCTATCCTGTATATCATACATACATATGTGTATTTCCTCTATATCATATATACATGTCTGTATATCCTATATGTCATATATATGTGCATGTATAGCCTCTATATCATACATACATGTGTGTATACCCTGTATATCATACATACACGTCTGTATATCCTGTATGTCATATATATGTGCATGTCTATCCTGTATATCATACATACATGTGTGTCTGTCCTCTACATCATACATACATGTGTGTATATCCTGTATATCATACATACCTGTGTGTATTTCCTCTATATCATACATACATGTGTATATATCCTATATGTCATATATATGTGCATGTATATCTTGTATATCATACATACATGTGTGTATGTCCTCTATATCATACATACATGTGTGTATACATGTATACATACACAAGGACCCGCTCTCCTTTCAGGAACTCCTTTCCAGAGCACACAGCGCCCATGCAGGGCAGAGCGGCGCCGCTGTCCCCGCTCCCCTGCGGGCACCGAGTGCCACCCGGGGCCGAGCTGCGGGGTGGTGGCACTTTGCCTCCTCCTGTCCCCTTTCGGGGCTCGGGGACGCTCGGAGGGCCCCGTGCCGAGAGCGCTGCGGGGCTGACCGGGCACCCAGCGCCTGCCGCGCACCCCGGGGGCGCTGCAGCATCCCCCGCCGCTCCTGCCCTCCTCCTGCCGCTCTCCTCCTCCTCCTCCTCCCCCCGGAAAGCAGCCCGGCCCACCGCCGCCGGAACAAAAGGGGCGGCCGAAGGTGGCGGCGTGGCCGCGCCCGCTGCTCCCGCCGCTCCGCCACCATGTCCGCCAGCGGCGGCAGCTCCCCCGGCAATGCCGTGAAGAAGCGGAGCCCCGCCGGCTCGGCCGCCTCGCTGGCGCAGGAGGACGAGAAGCAGGCGAGGGAGAAGATGCTGGAAGGGGCGCAGGAAAACGGCTGTGCCCGCTCGCCATCGCCCTGCGGCTCGGCGGAGGCGGAGGGGGTGACCCTGAAGCGGAACATCACCCTGCTGAACGGCGTGGCCATCATCGTGGGCACCATCATCGGCTCCGGCATCTTCGTCACCCCCACGGGCGTGCTGCGGGAGGCCGGCTCGCCGGGGCTCTCGCTCGTGGTCTGGGCCGTGTGCGGCGCCTTCTCCATCGTGGGCGCTCTGTGCTACGCCGAGCTCGGCACCACCATCACCAAGTCCGGCGGGGACTACGCCTACATGCTGGAGGTGTACGGCTCCCTGCCCGCCTTCCTCAAGCTCTGGATAGAGCTGCTCATCATCCGGCCCTCCTCGCAGTACATCGTGGCTCTGGTGTTCGCCACCTACCTGCTCAAGCCCATCTTCCCCACCTGCCCCGTGCCCGACGAGGCTGCCAAGCTGGTGGCGTGTCTGTGTGTCCGTAAGTAGCGGCTCGTGGCTCTCAGCTGACGGGCAGGAGGGGTGGATGGGGTTTAGGGGAGGAATTCCTCCCTGGGAAGGTGCGGAGGCCCTGGCACACCGTGCTCAGACCCCTGAAGTGTCCAGCTTGGAGCATCCTGGTCTAGTGGAAGGTGTCCCTGCCCATGGGACGGGATGACCTTTAAATTCCCGTCCCACCCGAGCCATTCCATGACTCAGTGACCCTCTGCAGGTCCCCGCTGTCCTACTCCACGTGGTTCCTCACTCCCCATCACCTGCCCCTGGAGATCTGCACCATCTCTCCTGTGCCACGCTGGCTGCATCCTGGGGGTGTTTTGGCTACTTTGAAATAGCCACAGCAGAGAACGTGTCTCCACCCGTAATAAATCGAGCAGAAAATTGCCCAAATGCCAGCTGTGGGCTAGCGAGGCTCCCTGATTCCCGAGCAGCGTGTGATAAATGCAGCGTGCGTTTTTCCTGGGAGCTGGAATAGGATTCCTTGTGCTTTCCCGCAGGAGCGAGCCCGGGCAGGGTAAAACCCCCTGGTTCCCAGGCTCTGCAGGGCTGTGTGGACGTTGGTGTGCGGCTTTGGGTGATGATAACAATTATCTGTCAGCAGCAACTGGTGCTGAACCCGCCCCTGAGCTGCGCTGCTTTCAGCACCAGTTGTGACAGGAGGTATTTCCCGGCCGTGTGCGCGCTGATACCGCGCTCAAAACCTGATCTTGTGGGGTTTCTTTTTGCAGAAAACATTCTGTCTGTCTGTCTGTCTCTGGGGCGGTGCCTTGCAGAGAAGTTCAGTCACGATGGGGTGAATTCAGGGCCATGGATGCCAACCTGGGCACACATATCTCTTCTGATGCACTTTTTATCACCTCTCTGCCCTTTTGGGGTCTGCTGTTTTGTCATTCAAATCCTATTTTCATCCTATTCTCTGTTTCTTTGATGACTGCAAAGTCACCCCATCCAAATTCCCAGTCCTTTAAATACGGAGCCCTGCCCTGCCTTTTCCCTCCTCATTTCCCATTCAATCTGTTCTGCTCTACTGGAATTTAATGCCATTATGAAGATATTTACTGGGAGAAGATATAATTTTTGTGAGAGCTTTATGAATCATTTTTCCACTGTACAAAATCACAGCCAGGTGGTCTCTACATTTTTGCATTTTGAGTGATGAAGAGGAAGCTGCTGGTTGGTGCTGCCCTTTCCTGGGATTGTGTGAGATTCCTTCCCCCTCCGAGGATCTCAGGCATCCCAAAGCTGCAGCACATGGTCGTTATGGGAAGATATATTGTCTGGAAATGTCTCAGAGCCAGCCTGACCCGGGCTTTGGGAGCTAAATTATATGGCTAATTATAGGATTGATAACAGGCATGACATGGGGTTGTGTTTTCTTCAGGCAAGATTGAAAGTCCTCAGTCCCCAGCTGAATTTTTAGGAATATGAAGGTACCTGGGCAGGCATTGTGGATTTCCACCCAAATTTTTTACAATGTGGAGAATGTTTCTTAGGGAAATCTAACAATTTTTTTAACTAAGAAAGCTGTAGGTGGTCAGGGAATAGTCCTGCTCATGGGTGTGTTGCCTTTTGGAAATTTGATTTTCGAGCTTTGCTGCTGGTCTGCACTGTGGTTTTCTCAGGGACACACAGGAGAGGGCCAGGGATGCACATGGCATTTGTGTTCCTTGTGAAAAACCAAGGAATTAGGATATAATTTAAAGTTTTCTTGCTGCCTTATGGCAAAGTTTTGCCGTACAAGCACAAATGGAGGAGGCAAAGCCTTTGAGGATGTGTTTCTAACCAAAAGTGACTTTTCATCTTCAGGATCATTCCCAAAAGGGGTTTCTGTTCCTATTTCGTTGCTCAAAGCCCAGGGCAGGGTTAAACAGACCTGCCCACCTTGGGATCTGTTCACTGGTGGGGATTTGCAGCACGAAACTCCTTGGAGCCAGCTCTCATTCCTGTTCATGCTCCTCCAAGAAAAGTCTCCAGCCTTCCTTTGGTACCAATTAGGGTTTCCCTGGGGCAGAATTTGTTCTTGAACCTTTCTCCTGAACTGCCAAGGGAAGGGTTGGAGTTCTCTAAATCTGCATCATCCCCATGTGTTTCTCCTTTAAGCTCTGTTTCCCCTTGCACTGCTGGCTCTTGGTTTGTTTATGCTTTGGGTTAAGTTTGGGGTTGTCTCCTTTGCTCCAGGAGGTTTGTTCATCCTGCAGCGCCTTCAGCAGGGCAGCTTTTGGGAACTTTGATTTTTGGAACTTTGAATTTTGGAATCAGCTTTTCATCTCCCCGCTGCCAAAACCACACCGTGACCCAGGAACAATAAATGAAATAAATCTGCTCCGAGGGCTCAGGCAGCCACACAACACTTGTGGGGACTCACAAACAGCTTTGTTCAAACAGAAACTGCCCAGAGAGAGACTTTTTATTCTTTTCAAAAGCTCTGGAGTAGAAAAAAAATGACCTATTTGTGCGTAGGCTGTAGCACATACATGAATGAGGTACCTCAAAGTGGGGGAGAGCAGCTTGGGAAGCAGCAGAGGAATTTGGGACCTGGGGCTGGAGTACAGTAGCCAAAATCCAGCCTTGCAGAACAGTCCCAGCTCTATTCCTTGCAAAGTTTGTATCTACACACAAAATGCACTTGGCTGCACAGTTTGTAGTAAGAGGAGGAATAACTAAAGTTATTTGTTTCTACTTTGCTGCTGCTGAAGGGTTGAATAAATCATGTGTTGTTCAGAGTTTGCCACCATGAACTTCAGCGAGTGAATTAATGCATTAAGAGAATCTAAATCACAGCCTTGAGTGAAAGGAAAAAATGGTTGGAAGAGGGAATTTTGTTCCCCTGGAAGGTGCTGAGGAAAACAAGGTGGGTGGTAAGGAGAATTTACCTACAAATGGGTATTTTCTGCCCTGGAGGTTGTAATCTTCACACAGTTGGTATGCAGGGCTTCTTTCATGGGCACAGGGAGTGCCTGTGGTGTTTGCCACAAATAAAAGCTGGGAATCTACTCCAGGGAAGTCTTCCTGGAGCTGGAGGGGTCAAGCTGTTCATCCTTAACCTGCCTCATTTCATATTCCCCAAAAATTTGGCTGAAGGCTTTGCAGGCTGCAGGTTACTTGGGTGATTCAGAAACTTGAGCATCTCTTTCAGCTGTGAGGTTGGATGGTTGATACTTTAAAATTCATAACACGAAATCCGTCCATGTTTGGTACACAAAAATTGGAAGTTCAGGAAACAGAGTTTGTGCACTTATGTGAAAACCCAGGAATAATTTGAATTTTCACTTCTGAGCTCATCTCTAAACCAATTTACCCCTTCTGTAGTGGGTGGAGGGACAGTTATTAGATGCTAAATTTGCATATTCAATGATTACATTACAATGTCCATATTGGACATGGCAAAGAATTCAACTTTGGATTGTGTGCTCTGTCTCAGGTGTGGGTGGCTCAGGTTTTCTTTCCATCCTGCTGCCACTTTCGTGAACATTTCTTCAATTTCAAGCTGATAAAACCTGACAAAAATCAGTAAAAATCACCAGTACACCCTGTGTGTTCCAGAGAGGGCTGAGGGATGGAAAGTGTTAAACTGATTTATTAAAGATGCTGTGGCTGTTCCTCATTTTCCACTGTTAATTTGCAGATTTCCTGCTTGCACAGAGGCACCTTCCCAGGTCTGGGTTGGGGTGCAGTAAATCCATTCCCAGTGCATCAGGGAGACAGGAATGAAGCTGCTGCCAGCCCTGAGCTGGATCTTGGTGTTCCACAAGTGCCTGAGCTGTTCATCCCACACATCCTCACACACAGCTTCCAGAATTCCCTGATTTCCTGACAAGGAAATGTGCTCCACAGTGGAAAACTGGGATTGGACTCGGTAATTAATCCTTGTGGATCCTTTCCAGCTCAGGATATTCTGTTGTTTTAATTTTGTTCTTGCTCCTCACTGTCAGATTCAGTTTGCTTCTGAATCTGTGTCTCGCTTGTTAATTAGATATGCAAATCTGGCACTAATAACCCCAGAACAGCAATATCAAAGCCAGGGAATTTTAATCTTCCTCAAAATTTATCTAAACTTCCTTCACTGCTTCTGTGCTCTGCTGTTGGGCACTCCTCCTGCAGGGCTGGAATTGCAGGGATTGCTGCTGAACTCCTCATTTGCCTCCTCTGTTTTGAGCAGCCAGAGAGTGGAAGGATGAGCAGCAGGCAGGTCTGAGAGCCCTTGTCCTGTGGAGGTGCCTGACACTCCTGAGAGAAGGAATCCAAGCAAGGGTGGCTGCCAGCTTGTCCAGGAGGGAATATCCAGTGCCAGCATTCCACCCAGAGCTCACAGATCCTGGGGGAAGCAGGAGTGTCTTTATTTGACACCAAGGTTTTGCTGCCAGGCTCAGCTTTTACAGGTGTGTGGATTTTCACCTCATCAGATATTAACTGTGAAAAGCAAACACAAAACACACCCAGGGCCTGTCTGCCTGAGGTGGGTTCATTCTGCAGCATTGCTGCTTTTAATTAATCAGCCAGGACAAGCTGGGTGTGAAGCTCTGAAGATTTATTCTTCCTCCTCCAGAAAGGTGGATTAAGGGACTAAAGCTCCATCAGCAAATTGCCCTTGTTGGAGTGGAGTGGAAGGAAGGGGTCTGTGGAATCCCTGCTGGATGGCAGAGGCTGCAAGGCTGAGGTTGCTTTTTTAATCTGAGTTTAATTAGAGCAGCAGTAATGAAAACAGGCTCTGACACTCGCAGGACTCTCCAGAAATCAATGAGAGCTTGGAGGGCTCTTGAAACACACAGGGAGCAGCCACTGCAATTCCAGCACCCCTCTCCTGGCTCTCACAACAATTATCCCATTAAATGTTTCTGTGTCTGAATGATTTATGTTATCACTGAGATCCTTCTGAGTCTTTCTCCTCTGGCATGAACAAATTGGGAAGGCTTTTGTGGAAAACCCCTCCAGGGTCAGCCTCATTTAAAGCAGCATCACTTGTTTTGAGTATTCCAAGAGTTC